TATGTGTAATTTTGCCCAACTTGTGAAAATGTACTGAATACTTAGTGCGTGTGAAAGTTGTTCTCCAGTGGGACTCAACCCAGTAAGTCTCCAGTTCTCCAAGTCACTAGCCTGGCATCATACTTCTAGACCACCGAGCTTGCACCTGTAGGCCAGGGTTGAATTCGACCCAAGTAAGTAGCGAGTAGGCCTACTATTTTTGCAAGTGTTTTACACGCACTGAGTAGGCCTATTAGGCCTACATTTCACGACGGGTTGCACAAAATTCCACCTATACATGTTCTATTGATGTTGTCAATATTATAATATATCAGATTCATGAAATGCCTAATAGGCCCTAAACGATAACATATAAATAACTTGACCATAGTTTGTTCTCAATATTCTTCAATTTTTTAAACAAAATATTTTTTAGATATTTCTGAAATGCCGTACGGTAACTGTTTTAAAATATCTCAGAATGTATGATTATTAAGAGTTTCGCCTGAGTAGACCCCACTAAAGGCTCTGTCTCTAGGTCCGATCAGGCATTTTCACCAATTTTACCTAGGGCCCAGCAGTTATCTATGCCATAGTTACCAACTGTCACGCATCGTGCGGGACAGTCCCGCGTTTTAAAGTGATTTTGGATGAAACACACATTTTGCAGAAGCACATGCGAGATATGTGTCACGCATTTAGCACTTGCGTGATAACGAATTATCACAAATTCAGGAGAAAATATATTTAAAATTAAAAGAAATTGGTTTTATCAAAAATATAAAAACGGTCATACAGTAGCTTGAGTCATTAGAGAGCTTTCATTATCTCGTTCGAGAATCAATTCACAGAGAAAATTTCTCCTTTCCGACCCAAACAACCCAGCCAACCACGCACTTGTAGAATCTAGTAGTCGCGAGCAGTCTTGCGAGTTTATTGTTACAACCAACCGTTGATTATGTGACTGGAACCCGAACTTCCGCAGGGGTTACGTAATAAGTAGTATACCGTATATACTCGCGTATGTCCTATAAGGTGACCCGTTAAGACGACCCCCGGGTTTTAGAAGATTTTTAGTTGATATTTGTATGTCTGGCATATAAGACGACTCCCTGTTTCATGGTCGGAATTCCTAATTTTGTGTGGTCCTGATACTGCATTCAGCTGGATAAATGTAGCCAAATGCAAGGGTAATCTTCCAAATAATAACATATTATGAGTTTTTAAATCTTCACCATCAAAATCGTCCCGTATTTAAAATTGCTTTCATTCATACAACATTTAGTTGCTTCACTACAGTAGTAAGTTCGCGTGTTACGGACGATCCGCACATAAGACGAACATTGATTATAAAAACCTAAAATATGAATTTTTCGATCGTAATTTGCTATTTTAAGCCAGGTCCTATTATACGCGAGTATATACGGTATTTATTTTAAAACCCTAGGTCACCTGAGCGTTAGTCATACAGTGGCGGATCCAAGGGGGGAAATTTTCCATGGGGAGGACCCCACCCCCTTTCATTTTGGGTATTTTTTGAAATGTTTTGAACCCCCCTCTTTCAAATCCTGGATCCGCCCCTGCACACTGTATAGATAATTAAGATTAAATAAAAACCCTTTACATTTAGCATCATGAAAACAAAGGTTACCGTTTGAGAATATATACGTAAATTTTTGCATCTCAGGTTAAGTTGGAAAATAATGGATCAATATTATTAATCTTATTAAACAAATCAGAACGTAATGCATCATAAAATTCACAAACCATAAAACAATAAAATTCATCTTCAATTAAATTAGAGTCGCACAGTTGGCAAATTCTTTGGTCGAGGGGGATGTTTTTGTATCTACCAGTTTCAACAGAAATCGCGGCACACCCAAAACGAAAGAGTAAGCCCTTCTGAAACATCTTTTCATGCGGTTCTTAACATAGTCTTCAGTAAATAATTCCATTTGAAAGTATGGTAAGTTCTAAGCTTATTTCTTTGTTGCGGTGATTTCCTGTCATCGATAAAGATTGCATCCCGCCAACGGTTTTCAATAAACAAACGGGAATTATTTACAATACTAATCATAAATTCTTTTGAACTGTTACATGAACCTAAATCCGGCAAAACAATTTATTTTTTGAAATAATGAGTGAACCTTAAAAGCCCAATTTTTAACATTTCGGTTACAAAGTAAATTAGACCACTTGTAAATTTGAAGAGGGATTCTGCAATCATTTAAATTATTCAGGTATAAAATAAATCTTGCTATACATTTAGTCTGATAAATAAAAGGCGGATCCCATCCCAAGTCACCAAAAACGGAATTATTAGGAGAAAACTTACCAACACCCAAAAATAACGACCCGCATGATAAAACACAGTTAATTGTATATGTATATGTGTGTGCGTATGTGTGTGTGCATGTATACTGTATACATGTTTGTGTGTATATAGGACCTATATGTGCATTATATGAGGGGAGGGGCAGTGGCATATCTAGAAGTCTTAAAATGGAGACGATGATGGGGTGCAAAAGTGAAGTAGGGGGCCTCGATGATCAGTTGATGGGTGCTTATTCACAAAATTAGGTATTTTTAACTACTTGAACATGATTTTTTGGGGACGACGGGTAATTTTTAGAGGGGCGTCTGCCTTCCTAGATACGTCACTGGGGAGGGGGTTGAGGGGTTTTTATAATTTATTTTAAACACAAAATTGTATTTTTCTGTAGGTAAGTTCTTACATTTGTTTAGCTTTAACGTGTTGTTTTCCTCTTCATTCATTAGATTAAGATTGACTGCGCCACTTTCCTGTGTGCTGCCACTGATATAAAAGTGTAATGTCAAATAAACATTATTTATTCATTTATAACCGATCAGGATAGGTAATGTGGAAAAAAGTCACACCGCCCTCTATAACAATTAACTTTTTTGGCAGATTAGAATATTGATACATTTTGAATCAATTTCAGTATCTTGTATTAAGGTTAGATCATCTTCATAACAACACAAAATACTACTTTTTTTGACAACCTTACAATATTGTAACTGTTATGATAACTAACACATTAAACACATTTTGGAGAATATGATAAATTTAGAGCTTTCAATTGTTCTTTCGCTATCATAAATGAAATTGAACCAGACCTCTGCGAGGTCCAAGGTTCCTATGCGGGCATTCGTGAAATATTGCAGTACAGTATTTACGATGACCCGGGTGACCAACAAACAAAACCAGAGAGACCGCAAGTGTTAACCCGTCAGTTTCATTTTTATTGTTAAGCGCATCGAGGCTTTAGCATAATGTGCTATTTAAGCCAAAATGATTATAATTATTATTATTTTATTATTAATCCTGGCATCAGGTTTTTTTGTTCTGCTTGTTAAGTGCCAATGATAAAAAGGTGTAGGAAAGTAGCTGTGGCAGCTGTAGGATATATTTTCTGGGGGCCGAGCTGTCCGACGGGGACCTCAGGCCCCCATCAGGCAAATCCTGGCACCACCCCTGAATCCATCACATTTAAGACAGTGGGATAATGAAAATGAACATTCCATAAATATTTTCCCCTTATCATAGAGTTCACTAGTCTTTTCAAGGGTAGGGGGTATTGTCTTTCATAAGTTATGGCTTTAATATTTGTCAAAATAGAAAATTATTAAATAGGGCACAACGTCATATCCAGTTTTACTTGGGTACGGATGTTCATAACGAACAGATATCTGGAAAGTCACTTTTGCTTGTTTACAAAAAACAGCGTAACATACATGTCACATAAATACATACACACGAAGGGTATTCTAAAGGTTCCTTTGCTTGAAAGCATAGGAACCAAAAACAGATACAAGATCAATTTTGCTTTACAAATTGGTTTTGTGAATTCATGAATGAGGGCATTCTAATTGGTTTTGTATGCATACATTTAACGGTTTCTAATCTTCTAGTATTTATATTATAATTGAAAGACACAAGTAATTCATCCTAAACTAAAATTACTCTGTGCTCAAAAGTTTTCTTTGTTGTAGAAGAAGCGACAGCCATCACGGGTGATGCTGGAATGTAAGTTGCTGTTCTTATGAAGAACGTGAGACAAAGCTGATGGGCCACAGAAGAACACTCCAGCATTAACACTGCAAGAAATTAACAAATATCACATTAGAATGGGGATAGTTGGTATGTAGCTGATTAGCCAATCAAAAGCATTTAAATATTAACATAATGTGACACCACAAAATCGTGGAGTGAAAACTAAAAATTTGCCCTGTCCAGTTCCTAAACCCAGAAAAAGTATAGTGTGGAATGCCATTGGTGCAAAGAAGAAATATGGAAATACCATTGATGCCAAAACTAATTATCTAAAATATTTAAGTTAATAATTAAGACAATTTTTAGGGACTTGCATCTAGTCTAAGCCCGACAAATAACAACCAATTCAGACTAAACCCTGTGCAAACAGGGCCAGGGGTGGCGCCAGGATTTGCCCGACGGGGGGTGGGGCGCCAAGGTCCCCGCCGAGGAGTCAGATTTCCCAGACGCAACTTAAGTGGGCGTGCTTCGATTAAAAGGTTTTGAAAGTGTTCAAATTTTGACAATTTAGGGGTTCAAAGGCTTAATTAATCGATTTTAGAGTCTACTAATATGTAGAAAATACTAGCACCACCTCTGAACAGGGCACCAAAACCAGGGCAACTCACAGCAAACTATTAAGAAATCTCAAAGCAAAGCCACTTTTCTTTGGTTTGTACAGAGTATAGAAATTAAGATGGTATATTGTAATATTTCTAGGCTAGTACTAACCCTGGATTGTCCGAAGCGATCTGCTTAAAGATACTATCCCATACCGGACGCCCATAATGTGTCTTCTGTCGGAGGCCTGTAATTGCATCTTTATTATCTTCTTCAAGCAAGTAGATATTCTTTGCCTATAACAAAAAGCAAAAAATAGCAAAATAAATATACCAATGACAAAATCATTGATGGAAAGAGGATGAACAATCTAGTGGGGTTTTTCTATAAACTTTTGCATAATTACTTTACTAAGCTTACAGTTTTGATTTACTGTATGTATTCGAATAAATGCCCAGCTTTGGATAAACGTCCCCCTTGAATAAACACCCACTCTGGAGCTTCATTTGGAATAAATGGCTCCTTCAAAAATAAACGCTCAGAGGAGTTTATTTTTTCCTTGAATTAACACCCCCTAAATGAATGTAATGTAAACAAATCTAATGGAAGCAATATCATTCTCAACACAGTCTATTAATGTTCTCTTCCAGTAAAATTACATTTTTCTAACCTTGTTGGGGTAAGTCAGTCTTTATGACCAAGCATCAAAACATTTTGACAGTAATTATGCGTTGTAGTTTAACATTTACAGTGAAGTTAGGGGGCAATTATTTAAATATATATGTATCAATTTTATAAAAAAAAAAAGTTAAAAACCTCCCTCGAATAGATTCCACCCTCGAATTATCATCACCTCAAAAACCATTCTCAACATTAAATGCCCTGGCACATCTATTCAAATAAATATGGTACTTATTTTTAACCAAAGTGGCCAATTTTATAATGTGCAATTATAACAGCTAAGTCAGGCACACACACTGCACCAACGAAGAACCTCACAAGGAGGCATGTACAACGAATCACTTTTAATGAAAATCTGTTCAGTCCGCCACCAGGCCTCGAATTTGGGGATTTTATGGGCAAGGCAAAATGGCCTCCGGTATGACATGATTTTGAAAAGCACCAAGGCCAAAATTTCAAGTATAAAAGGGCACCCAAGGCAAAATTTGATTTAGCCTCAGTACTAATTTCTCGCGAGTGCCTTGATTCTTCTTAGCCAAGCTAGGCAAGCTAGGGCCTAGGCCAAGCCAAGCTAGGTCTAGCCAAGCCATAGTTGTCAATGCTAATATAACTTAGTTTAGAGTATTAACTATTAATTATCGATTCAATGTTGGAATATACTGCGGCGATCGTACAAAACAGTCAAATTTCAAGAAGTTCGATATCTTTGTGTTGTTGCTCAGTGCGTCCTCATCGGAGAGGAAGCCACAACTCTAAACTGGCCGCGAAAG